CTGAGGCGGGAAGATTGCTTGAGCCCAGGAGTTCAAGACCAGCCTGGGCCACATAGTGAGACCCTGTCTCTAAAAAGATTTGTGATTTTTTGTTTGTTTTAAAAAATAATTAGCTGGGCATAGTGGTGTGCACCTGTAGTTCCAGCTTCTCAAAGGCAGAGGCAGGAGTTCAAGGCTGCAGTGAACTGTGATTATACCACTGTACTCTAGCCTAGGCAACAGAGTGAAACTCTGTTAAAAAAAATAAGGAAAGGAAAGGAACAGATTCAGATGGTCCCATATCCAGATGATGGAGCTAGCAGACAAGGATGCTAACATGACATTAGTCAGTGGTCCATGGGTTCAGTGTTGGGGAAAATCCAGTAAAAATAAAGACAAAATGGAAAATATAACACAAGACCCAAAGCCGGGCATCATGGCTCATGCCTGTAATCCCAGCAGGGTGTGAGGCTGAGGTGGGAGGATTGTTTGAGCTCAGCAGTTCGAGACCACCCTGGACACACCATCTGTACAGAAAGATACAAAAATTAACTGGGCATGTTTGTGTACACCTGTGGTCAGCTACTTAGGAGGTTGAGATAGGAGGATGGCTTGAGCCCAGGAAGGTCGAGGCTGCAGTAAGCTGTGATCATACCACTGTATTCCAGCATGGGTGGCAGTGCGAGACTGTCTCAAAAAGAAAAAATAAAATGTTTCACGAACAAGCAAGCCCTCAGAGATTTCATCACCACCAGGCCTGCTTTACAAGAGCTTCTGAAAGAAGCACTACACACAGAAAGGAACAACCAGTATCAGTCATCCCAAAAACTTACCAAAAGGTAAAGAGTATCTCCATAATGAAGAATCTTATCAACTAATGGGCAGAATAGCCAGCCAGCATTAAATGACAATATTTAACTCACAAATATCAATATTAATCCTGAATTTAAATGGATTAAATGCCCCAATCAAAGACACAGCTGAATAAAAAGTCAAAACACATCGGCAGGCTGTATCCAGATCCATCTCATAAGCAAGGACACACAAAGACTCAAAACAAAAGGTTGGAGGAAGACTCACCAGTCAAATGGAGAGGAAATTAAAAAAAAACAGGAGTCGTAACTTTCGTCTCTGACAAAATAGACTTTAATAGTAACAAAGACCAAAAGAAACAAAGAAGGACATTACATAATGATAAAAGGATCAATGCAACAACAGGAGTCAATGATCATAAATATATATGCACCCAATATAGGGGCACCCAGATACATAAGACAAGTTCTCAATGACTTATAAAGAGACTTGGACTCCCGCATAAAAATAGTGGGAGACTTTGACACCACATTGTTAATATTTCACGGATCAACAAGATAGAAAGTTAACAGGGACATTTATGATTAGAACTCAGATCTGGAATAAGTAAACTCAGTGAATATTTATGGAATTCTTTGCCCCAGGTCCACAGAACATACATTTTTCTCAGTATCACATTACACCTATTTTGAAGGTGACCACATAATTGGAAATAAATCACTCTTCAGCATTTGCATAGCATTTCACAGGTTTAAATGAAATATCTGTTGGCTATTTGTGATTTTCTTCCCTTATTCCTTCCTGTCTCCGCTGTTAAGCACAATTATCGGCATAAAATAGGTTTTTAATACCTACTTTTAGATTGCATTCCAGCCTGTGCAATAGAGCAAGACTCCTGTTCTCTCTCCCCCTTTTCTCCTTCTCTTTCTTTCTTAAAAAAGAAAAAAAAAAGACCCAAATAAGTCTTCTAGAAATGAAAAATAGGCTGAGTGGGGTCAATGGTAGATTAGACATTGCAGAAGGAAAGATCAGTAGACTTGAAGACACAGCGCCTCGTCAAATGGAACACAAAGAAAGACAAAAAAATGGACAGAGCGTCACTGGGGCCCCGTCGAGCCGAGTGACATATGAAACCGATTTCCGGAAAGGGGGCGCATGTGGTGGAGAAAACCTGAAGGCAGTAATGGCTGGAATTTCTCCAGATCCGAAGCAAACTCATTCCGGAGAAGCTCAACAGATCTCAAACAGAAGAAGCACACAGCACCCAGCACACAGCACCGTCCAGTTGCTGAGAATCAGAAAAGCAGACAGAGGCAAACGCTATTGCATACACAGCAACAGAGACAAAAGTTAGAACCCGCTTCTGGTCAGAACGGCACAACGTGAAGACACGGAGGAAACCCTGTCAAGCCCAGGAAGCAACGCAGGGCACGTGTATGCAGGACCAGCGACCCTCACCCTGCCTTATGCTGTACTTAAACATTCACTCGAAATGGGTCACAGACCTCAATGCGAACGCTGAAATTGTAAGATTAATAGAAGAAAAACACATGATAGATACGTCGTCCTTCTCAGTTGGGGCTGCTATAAAAAGGTTAACGCTGACTGGCTGGCTTCAGTGTCAGACATTTTTCCTCACGGTTCTGGAGGCTGGAAGTCCGAGGTCAAGGTGCTTGTAGGTTTGGGGCCTGGTGAGGGCCTCCTCCTGGTTGTGCCTCCTGTGGCAGGGAGAGAGGAAGCAGCTGGCTGTGTCTTTTTTCACGATGGCACCAACCCCATTTTTGAGGCTCCTCCCTCTTGGCCTCATCCCCTACCAATGGCCCTGCCTCCAGACGTCCCGTTAGCACCTGGACGGGGATGGTGACTTATACCCGTCGTTCCAGCACTTTGCTGAGGCAGGCGGATCCTCAAGACCAACCTAGGCAACATAGCAAAATGCTGTCTCTACAAAAACATTTAAAAAATTATCTGGGCATGGTGGCACACACCTGTAGTCCCAGCTACTTGGGAGGCTGGGGTGGGAGAATCACTTGAGCCCAGAAGACTGAGGCTGCAGTGAGCCGTGATCGTGTCACTGTGACTCCAGCCTGGGTGACAGAGCAAAATCCTATCTATCTCGAAACAAAACAAAATATGGATTTGTGGCTGGGCAACAGAAACGTTAGCCCAGTGTCCTTGGTGGAATATTATCCAGCCTTAAATGTGAATGACATGATGACACCTGCCACCATGTGGATGAGCTTGAGGACGTGATGCTGAGTGAAATAAGCCAGTCTCATAAGGACAAATAGTGTATGATTCCACGAAATGAGGTCCCTAGAGTGGTGAACTCACAGAGGCAGAAAGTGGGATGGTGGTGCCGGGGCTGTGGGGGTTGGGGTCAGTGTTTAATGGGGACAGTGTCTCTGCTTGGGAAGATGAAGTTCCGGAAATGGACAGGGCTGCCGGCTGCACAGCAGTGGGAATGTACACAACGCCCTGAACCACACACCTAAACATGGTAGATTTTATATTACGTGGACTTCACCACAATTTAACACAAATGAGCAAAGATGAGCTTTTTCCTGGTTGTGGGGCAGGCAGGCTAATGGTCTGCTGGCGGGGTGCTGGGCTGGACTTTGGAGGAGCCCAGGGCTGTGGCTGGCACGGCTTTGGGAGGAGCGGGAGCACACAGAAGGCTGGTGGGGCTTTGGGGAGGAGCAGGAGCACACAGGAAGCTGCTGGGGCTTTGGGAGGAGCAGGAGCGCACAGGAGGCTGGTGGGGCTTTGGGGAGGAGCGGGAGCACACAGGAGGCTGCTGGGGCTTTGGGGAGGAGTGGGAGCACACAGAAGGCTGGTGGGGCTTTGGGGAGGAGCGGGAGTGCACAGGAGGCTGGTGGGGCTTTGAGGAGGGGCGGGAGTGCAAAGGAGGCTGGTGGGGCTTTGGGGAGGAGCGGGAGCACACAGGAGGCTGGCGGGGCTTTGGGGAGGAGCGGGAGTGCACAGGAGGCTGGTGGGGCTTTGAGGAGGGGCGGGAGTGCACAGGAGGCTGCTGGGGCTTTGGGGAGGAGCGGGAGCACACAGGAGGCTGGTGGGGCTTTGAGGAGGAGTGGGAGTGAACAGGAGGCTGCTGGGGCTTTGGGGAGGAGCGGGAGCGCACAGGAGGCTGGTGGGGCTTTGGGGAGGAGCGGGAGCGCACAGGAGGCTGGTGGGGCTTTGGGGAGGAGCGGGAGCGCACAGGAGGCTGGTGGGGCTTTGGGGAGGAGTGGGAGCGCACAGGAGGCTGCTGGGGCTTTGGGGAGGAGCGAGAGTGCACAGGAGGCTGGTGGGGCTTTGGGGAGGAGCGGGAGCGCACAGGAGGCTGGTGGGGCTTTGGGGAGGAGCGGGAGCACACAGGAGGCTGGTGGGGCTTTGGGGAGGAGCGGGAGTGCACAGGAGGCTGGTGGGGCTTTGGGGAGGGGTGGGAGTGCACAGGAGGCTGGTGGGGCTTTGGGGAGGAGTGGGAGCACACAGAAGGCTGGTGGGGCTTTGGGGAGGAGCGGGAGTGCACAGAAGGCTGGTGGGGCTTTGGGAGGAGTGGGAGCACACAGGAGGCTGGTGGGGCTTTGAGGAGGGGCGGGAGCGCACAGGAGGCTGCTGGGGCTTTGGGGAGGAGCGGGAGCGCACAGGAGGCTGGTGGGGCTTTGGGGAGGAGCGGGAGCGCACAGGAGGCTGGTGGGGCTTTGGGGAGGAGCGGGAGCGCACAGGAGGCTGGTGGGGCTTTGGGGAGGAGCGGGAGCGCACAGGAGGCTGCTGGGGCTTTGGGGAGGAGCGGGAGCACACAGAAGGCTGGCAGGGCTTTGGGGAGGAGCGGGAGCGCACACGAGGCTCGTGTAGCTGTCACAGGAATTGTGGCCCCACTGTTCCGAGAGCTTGCAGGGGGCTGGGTGGCTTTCCCGTGTCCTTCCTAGGTGTGGCTTCTGGCAGCTCGGGGACTGTTCATTTATGAGCCATCTGTCGGGCCTCGTGGCCAGGCAGTGGGAAGCAGTGTGCCAGCAACGCCCTGAATAGTCTTGACCCTGATGTGTAAGTTGTGGAGTGTTTCGTTGTTCGGGGAAGGAAGCTAATGTTTGCTTGTCAGTTTCCCTGACATGCAGCCTTTTGGGTCGTAAAGTGGCTGCACGTGTTTGGTCACACGTGTCTTTCCAGTCTGGCACAAGCACGTTGATATGTGTGCCTTTCTCTTTCAGGCTGGTCCAACTGGAAGCCCTGAGGACAGCTGCTCCCACTGGCTCTGCTGACCTTGTGCCTTGGTGAGTGGCAGTGAGGCTGCCCGATGCAGGGTGCCATGTGTATGTGTGTGTGTGTGTGTGTGTGTGTGTGTGTGTGTGTCCAGTGTCAGGGTCAATGTTGGCCCTTGATGCCTTGTTGATTACTTTTTCTTAAAGGGGAATATATATTTTAACCTTTGCTATGGCCAACAGAATATTTATTATGATCTCTTCTCATTTGTCCAAAACCCAGACGATAAAGTTCAGGTAACTTTGTTCTCTTCCTGTGAGGGATGACCTGAGCTCAGAGGGGCTGAGCTACAAATGCTGCTGAACTGAGGTGCCTACCAGGGCACAGAGGGCATGGGGGTCACCTCACAGGGCTGCCCTGGCTCTGTTAGCAGTCTAGGAAGCCCACCCGTCTCCTGGAGACCGGCCGGGAGCTGTCTGTCTAGGATGGGGCAGACATGGGGCCTTGGGTCAGCTGCATGGTCCCCGTGGGGAGCTCAGCCGGCTGAGGCTGTTCAGTCACTGGGTGGACCCAGGGATGGGGCAGCTCCTCCCTGCGCCTGGGGGGCAGTGCCCTGTTCTGACTCCTTTTCCACTGTGGAAAAGGGGGTTGGTGCCCTGCTCCTGGGGGCCGCTCTCCTCCAGAAGCCCCAGGTTTGACCGACACACAGTTACCTGGCTATTCAGTCACCAGGTGGTGGGTCCAGGGATGGGGCAGCTCCTCCTGTGCTCCCATGGCTGGTCCTTGTAGGGTTCCTGTCCACTGCTCCCATGGGACCCATGCCTGTTCCCAGGCCTGCTGCTGTGGCTGATCAGGCTGCAGGTCCCTTCCAGGTGGGCCTGGACCCCGAGTCCTTCTCCCGCTGTGGCTGCTTCGGACCCAGGAGGTGTCTCTCCTCCAGATGCTGTCGGTGGAGAGCAAATCCCATCCCTCATGTTCCGAGGCTCCCAGGTGAAACTCACAGGCCCAGCTCTTGGGAGGCAGGCGAAGCCTCCTGTGTCATCATCACACACAGGGGGTGTCGAAAGCTACCGTTTGATACACACAAACGTGAGCAGGACTGAAGTGACCAACGCCAAGCTTGGACTTTTGAAGGTGCAGTCACAGCTGACTTCACACAGCGTCGCTGACCACGTGAGCCGGGTGCTGAATGCTTCCTTAGTTTTCAAATTAAAGTGACTGTGTTTAGTGTCTCTTTTTGTTTTTTTGTTTGTTTGAGACAGAGTCTCGCTCTGTCGCCCAGGCTGGAGTGCAGTGGCGCGATCTCGGCTCAGCGCAACCTCTGCCTCCTGGGTTCAAGCGATTCTCCTGCCTCAGCGTCCTGAGTAGCTGGGACTATAGGCACCCACCACCATGCCCAGCTAATTCTTATATTTTTAGTAGAGATGGGATTTCACCATGCTGGTTGGGATGGTCTCGATTTCTTGACCTCGTGATCTGCCCCCCTTTGCCCCCGAAAGTGCTGGGATTACAGGCGTGAGAGTTTTTATTAAGGCTACTTATGATAGTAAAGATACTAATGGTGCCGTAAAGACACAGTGGCTGCTCCCGGCTGACTGGCTCCCGGAGCTGCCTCTCTAACATTCTGAATTCACAAATGTTTACTTGCTGCTTTCGCTCATTGTTGATTTAATACTTTGCCTGTGGCTAAACTGCTACATTGTTGCAAATCGCCATTCTGCGCCAAAGAAACTTGACTTACCTTGTATCCCCTGGCTGAGCTTCCACATCCCCATTCTTCCGCGTTTCCTTTGACCATTGTTGGGCTGTACTCTGGGCTGAGAGGGAGGCATGGGCAGTGACCGCGAGGCTGCCGGAAGGCCTCCAGCAACGGCTGGGGTCCGGGACTTTAGATCTGTGAAGTGCAGCGTGTGGTGCCCGGGGGAGGTTTTGCTTTTAGGGGAGAAACTGGCCAAGGTGTGCCAGGCATCAGCAGACCTCTCCCGGTAAGAGGACATTTCAAGAAGATGAGGATGGACATTGGCTTGATTTCCATTGTCCCCTTTCTGGGGACAGGGGCGGCACGGTTCTATAACAACTGAGGTTTGGGAAAAAGAATGGGAAGAAGGGCAGGTCGGAAACATCGTGTCTTTGGTGTCTAGTAACAGCTTCAGAACAACCCGAGTCAGATTTACAACCGAGCTTTCAGCACAAGTAACGACACTCACAAAACCGGGTGACCGTCAGTTACGGCGTGCCACGTGGCACGTTGGGAGGCAGGAAAGATTGCAAAACTCAAAACACGAGCCCCCTGCTCAGGCTGATGGCATTAATAACAAAATCTACAGCAAAACATTTGCTTGTGACTTGCACCAGCACCTCTCAAAAGGCGTCCAATATCTAATAAACACCTGAAAAGGCATGGTTATCAGAGAAATGAACTTTGAAAACCAGAAATGTGGGCCGGGCGCGGTGGCTCACGCCTGTAATCCCAGCACTTTGGGAGGCCAAGGCGGGTGGATCACGAGGTCAAAAGATCGAGACCATCCCGGTCAACATGGTGAAACCCCATCTCTACTAAAAATACAAAAAATTACCTGGGCATGGTGGCGCGTGCCTGTAATCCCAGCTACTCGGGAGGCTGAGGCAGGAGAATTGCCTGAACCCAGGAGGCGGAGGTTGCGGTGAGCCGAGATCGCGCCATTGCACTCCAGCCTGGGTAACAAGAGCGAAACTCCATCTCAAAAAAAAAAAAGAAACCAGAAGTGTATCACTGCACAGTCAGCGGATTGGCTAAAACCAATGAGGCAGATGGGACCCACGCTGTTGAGGAGGTGGGATGTGGTGTGACGGGGGGAGCTTGTTCCTTGTGGTGGCTGTGACTTGACCTCTTTATTTTGGAAAACTATTGGACCATAACTTCTAAAGTGGAGCAAACTTGTGGCTTGTGACCCAGCACCTCCCCTCTGGGGCGTGAACCCACAGCCAGGCCTGAAAGCATCATGGGAGCTGCATTCCTCAGGCCTGTGTGCCCTGAGGAGGTGGGCTCTGGGTGGACACGCTGCCGTGTGTCTGCCCATGGAGCAGTATGGGATGAGGTGCGTGGAGACAGCCCCCTCCACCTGGGCGAGCTTACACCCATATGCTGCGTGGAATCAGCACAGTGGGTCAGCATGTGTGCAAGACTCAGGCGCATGCAGCTCAGAGGCAGGCGGACCTGGGGGGCGGGGGAGCAGGAGGCAAAGGAGGCCCAGGGGCTGTTTTTTTCTTTCTCACTCCCTTCCTCCCTCCCTCCCTCCCTCCCTCCCTCCCTCCTTCCCTCCTTCCCTTCCTTCCCTCCTTCCCTTCCTTCCCTCCCTCCCTTCCTCCCTCCCTCCCTCCCTCCCTCCCTCCCTCCTTCCTTCCCTCCCTCCCTCCCTCCCTCCCTCCCTCCTTCCTTTCTTCCTGCCTCATGGTCTTGCTCTGTCTCTCAGGCTGGACCTCAGTGGCATGATCTCAGCTCACTTCAGCCTTCAACTCTCCTGGGCTTAATTGGTTCTCCCACCTCAGCCTCCCAGTAGCTGGGACCACAGGCATGTACCACCATACCCAGTTAATTTTTTTTATTTTTTGTAGAGACGGGTTTTGCCATGTTGCCCAGGCTGGTCTTGAACTCCTGGGCTCAAGCGATCCACCTGCCTTGGCCTCTGAAAATGGTGGGATTCGTTTCTTGGTCTCGGTGCTGGTCATAGAAGACCATCTGTTGAATTTCGTCCGGCCGCTCACTGAAGATCTGTGCCCTTCTCTGTATCTGTTACACTTTACCAAGACGTTTCCCGTAAACCCGCACGGTGGAAGCGTCACAGTTTCATCTGACTCCCTGTGTGAAAATATGAGCTTCTACAAAACAGCAGACTTAAAAAGCAATACCACCCAAACCTGAAACCCTGGCAGACCGATGCCATGTTAAAGCCACACGTTTGTCACTTCCCCTGCCTGGGTGTTCGCCCACCCGCTCTGTCACGCGGCTCCCTGTGCTGGAGACCCAGGGACAGAGCAGTTTCCATCCACATAGGAGTGTGTCACTGTAACAGCAGAGCACAGGGACGGCTGCCTTGGGAGGAGGGCACTGGCCCAGGCACCCCAAGGGCGCTGTTGCGTTCTGTGTGCTGGAAGACCCCGATGCTTCAGAGCCTAAATTATGTGGGAAAATGCGTTTGTGTCCCAAAGCTAGAGTGAGATTTCCAAGGTGCGTATGAGGCAGCCGGCAAGCTTCCCTTGTGGCCTAAAGCACAAGGTACCAGGGCTTGAGGTGAATTTGGTGACATCTAGAGCTGGCAACTTTGTCAGGGCTGGTCACCCCCGGCCCTGAGGACTGCGGGGAAGGAACGGCTGTCCTGAGTGCAACACCAGCCATGTTCACACATGGCCACCTGCCAGCCTGACCTGTGTGTCCAGCCCCAGCCCCTCTCCTTCACAGAGGAGGTGTCCCATCAGGGAGCATGCAGGCTGGGAGGTTATGGAGCCCACTGTGTATGACTCGCTGTGTGATTCACAACGAAGCATTTGCTTTCCTGGGCCTTGGTGACCGGTCTGTGAAATGGGCAGGAGCCTAGCTCTTGGGTAGACAGAAGGTAAGGGTGTGGGGTTGGGGGAGTGGGGCAGGGGCCTGGGGGGCAGCACCAGGAGGACGAGAGGGGACCTATGGCCTCCAGCTCTGGGTTCAGGACTGTGGAGCATCCGCAGCTCTTGAAGCCATTGGATTCTTTAAGAAAAGGCTAATTCAGAGGACACTGGGTGGTGAGGGTGAGATCAAAGCCCGTGCTGTGTCAGCGCGGTGGCCTGCCAGCTCCAGGCTGCAGAGGTCCCTCATCATTTCCTTTCCTTCCCTCCCTGTGGAGCGAACTGTGTCGTTTGCATTTTTTGGATGAGGATTCAGGCTCAGGCTCAGCTCATGCGGTCCCGATGCCCCTGCTGTGCTCCGAGGTTGGCCTGAGTCTTCTGCTCCCAGGTCCTCCCGTGGCCCCGTCACATCCAGCCCTGCCCTGGAGAGAGAGGCCGGTGAGAAGGACCTGAGAGCAGCTGGGCCTCAGCTGAATGGGACTTCATTCTT